CTGTCATGACTGGGCGGACTGCTACGCCTGAGTACGGCATGGGAGCCGGCGGTGGGTGGACCATGGGCGGCGGTACCCCTTGGACTGGGTACAAGGGAGACTGGGGAGGGGGCGGGGGAGGGACCTGGTGCTGGGGCATGGGCTGTTGCCCGGGGTAAGTCACGGCAGGGGGTGGGAGCTGGTGCCCCTGGTGTCCCTGCTGGGGCGGTGGGGGGCCAGGCTCATGTCCAGTATATGTTTTCTCCTCCTGAAGGGGCACGGTGATGAGGTTGGACTTCCTGACCTGCACCCGCTCCATGCCATACTCCCCGTGGGCAGTCGGTGAGTCTGGGATGTCCGGCCCGGACTCAGTCTCGTAGGGCATGCGGTCATGTAGGTGTGGGGGCTGGCTGACGGGGGTGCTGTAAGGCTCAGGCTGGGCAGCGTAGCGGGCCGTGCGGGGGTCCTCCCCTATCGGGCGCTCGTGCCGGCTGGCCTGGTCGTTGCTGCTGCTGCTTGGCGGTGGGGCAGCCGACTGGCTGCTACCGCTGCTGCTGCTGCTGGCTGCCGTCTGGTGCCTGTTGTGCCGGTGATTAATGTGGGCCTGCAGGTCTCGCTGAGACAGGTAAGTCCTTCGGCAGCCCCCAGGGCTGTGCTTGGAGCCCCCGTGCGTACACAAGAAGATACCACCCAGGGGGGATTGTTCAATTCGCTGAACGCTGTCACCACATCTGTGTGAAGACAAAGATTGACATAGAGATAAACCCTAGCCCTCTCAGATCTTCTCCCATGCAATGAGAACAAACCTGGAGGGCCAGAGCCACACTGCTACAAGTTTACCAACTATGATAATAGACTTAAGGTGCACCTAAATCTTGTGTCTATGGCTAGGTCTTGTGCTTCATCTATTACAGATAAATATGCAGATAATGACAAAAGACACAAGAAGTTGCTACTAAAAGGTACTTCTGGACATAGCTTTACTATGAGCATTTTCCTTCTTTGCATTTTATAAAAAGAAAACTATTTTTGAAGCTGCAATGTGCTATTTTCAATGTTCACTTTTGCTTTTTCTTTAAACCAGTCCTTTAAAATTCTGAAACCTGTTAGATTCAAACCCTACAAAAGAATCCACTTCATTTTTAATAACTTTGAACTCTGGCCCACTGACCTCAAGCAGCTCTTGTCCGTGGCTTTGGCACAATCAAAGCAGAAGACATGCTTGCAAGGTATCTAGAGGTAAAAACCATACACGTGCTTTATCATCTTTCTGAAAAATTATACTAAAAATATGTGTAATATAAACAAAATGACAGTTTTTAAAAGCAAACCAAGGAGAATGTTTTCATGTGGCCGTGTTTGCCTGTGATCATCCAGTGGTAATTTCATAAAACAGTCGTATATACCATCATCAGCACCTTCCTTTGAGCAGGAATTGCTGGTCAATGTAAGCTCAATTCCTGTTATGTAACCATACTATTTTTAGTATTTGTCATTCAATGCAGACCAAAAAGGTAAAGACAAGAACTTGGATGTGGAATCCTCAATCACAGTTTAAGGTACATGAACCCTGACTCCTGATACTGTATAAGCAAGGATGCATACTCAGTCCATCAAAATCCTTCAAATGCCTCAGAGTAAAAATTAAATAGTCTCCATCTTCCAAAATTGTGGGTTTTTTTTGGAGGGGCAGGGGAGGACTGCTCCCTCAATCCTTCCAAAATCCTCTGGCAATTCCTGTCATCGATGTTGAGGCAGTGCGAATGGTATGGTGGAGATGGGCAGATGATATCGAATCTGGGCTTGAATTTACGCCTGGCGAAGCATAAACACCAGAAAGTTGAACCCAATCCCTTGACACAATGCATCCTCCGCAATCAGACAAACCATTCAGCCTCAATCTTCCAAAATTCTCCAAAACCATCCCGAGGATTTTGGAGGATGGAGGCTCAGGATCAACGGCCCACAATCTAGCACAGTGACGTACTCTGACACTATCGAGTGAAGCAGCGACAAAGCTAGACTAAGTAGGGGTTAAAATTTGGCCACTCACCATTCGTCCGTAGCTCAGAATGGGCAGGCAACATTTCTCACAGCAGTGAATCATAGGATCTACCACTTTTTCTCCAATGAGGTTCAACTGAAATAATAACGGATATTGATTGATCATAGTCTGTGAGGGGCGCAGCGCCCTCCTTTGGATATACTGTGTTAGTGCATGACCTTTGACACACCTGAGTACTTGGAAGAAACCCGTGTGAGCACATGATTGTGTGACATGTACCGACCGACCAGAATGCTACAATAAATCGTGAACCCTACATATCTGAGTTCATATCCTTCCTGAATAATAGAGTAACATAGGATATGACATAGTCCAGGTGTGAGTGAATGATCTTTGACTGAGATAAAGCAGTGACTGTTTTAAGAGTCATGGAGACATATATGAATATTCTCCTCCCCCCTAAAAAAAACTGTCAACAAATGAATAAACAAAGAAGTTCATATAAGTTGACATCATCTGACATCTGGTTGGCGCTCTTTGTGTCTTTAGTTTTACTGACATGAGTGATGATTTGTGTGAAACAACATTCAAGGAGCGTTTGGCAAATCAAGTAAAAGACATATCTTTTGTTCCCCGTTATTGGATTGTTTCCAATTCTGCAGGATGCCTACAGATGATATAAAGAACAAGGAGTTTTGGAAAGCACACAAAGACAGTTACAAGGCAACTACATGTATATTTACCTTATGGTCCCATTTGAGGTGCCGATTTGGAAAAGGATGTGTGTAAATGTCTGGGTGCTTATCCATTCTGACTGGAGATGTATCGCATGAAAGTACCTACAAGAAGTCAACAGGATTCTAACATTTCACAAGCAGAGGCCTACTACTGCAATCCTAGTTAGTTAAACAAGATCATGTAGAATTTTCATCAACTGATGGCTGAATCACATAAAAAGAATACCTGTGTCGCACCCCAACTATGGCCTCAGTCCCAACTATACTTGGGCTGTAGTTGGGCCGATCCCAACTACCAGCCCAAGGGACCAGCCCAACTATAGTTGGGACCGGCCAATTATAGTTGGACTGGCCCAAGTACAGCTGGGGCCAAGGCCATAGTTGGGCGCAATACCTGCATTGGCTTCAAATAGTTTGTTTTCCTTTTACTACAAATGCAACTCGTAGTGGTAGACCACTGAGAAAGAAGTTAGGATTACAAAGTAAACAGCCCTGTCCATAATTTTTTGTTGTTCATGTTGGAGGCTGAAAGTACATGTAACTATGTTCAGTGCAAATTTACTGTAGGCCTACTCCCTCTTGGTTCAATTATTTCCTTCCTCCATGATTATCCTACGAGTGGGTTTCATTCAAAGGCAAATCATGTCATTCAACAACATGATATGATCTTGACAAGACTTGACAGTGAATTTTCATGTAGGCCTATGCCTACATGTATGGCTCTAATTTCAGAAAATTCAACAAACGGACGCCACTTATTTTTCCCTACAGCCATCTGAAAGCAATAACATGTTTTAAATAGTTTACTTTAGCTGTAAAAACATTTAGCCTTCAAGTAGACCTTCAGAGTAGACATGTCAGATAACAAACGCATTCACAGAGTCGAGCATGACCGTCATGACATTCGTCATGTCACATTGTCTGTGGTGCACGCATGAAAAGGGGTTTGTGAATTGGGTGTTTTTCAAACACTTGGAATTCTTTCCAAACTGTTCTGTTCCTTCAGACACAGAGAGTCCGGGGATGCGTGAAGATGAAGTTGGAAGCGGAAAATGGGAACGCTTTTCGAGTTATTAATAACATTAGGCACAACTTACGTACATTTATGTGCCAAATAACAGCTACCAACGCGTATCGATTTCATCAACATGCGCTCAATCTGTTTTTGTGGCGCCCTCTCGTTTTGCTTTTCCCTTTCCTTTTTGTTAAAGACTGGTTCCTTGACTCTTATGCAGAATTTTAGAATTATGTAGGAAGTTGTACCTGGCTACAGTAAATGCGTAATCACTTTGCATGGGTTTTCAGGTGTATCAGACATCGTTCTTTTAAGTCTGAAATTTCATTCAACGAAATGACTACAGTCGGACAAGAACATACAGGAAAGAACAAGAAAAAAGTGAGTGAATGAAGTCTTATAGTTGGTGCTTGTCCAGGGTCGACTTTGTGAGGTCAATTGTTTTTGTAACCTAGTATTTATAATACGAGATGACCGGATTTTTCTGGCAGTAACTTAGCGCCTGCGTGCTGCGCGCGGGGGCTGGGGACCCGGCCGGTGTGTGCATTGGATGAGTGCCTCGTCGCTTGAAGCGGAAGTTACCGCACGTGTACATAACCCATTGTGGACTTGTGAACAAAAGAAGTCCACAGGATGCAGAAAGGGAAGACGTTCTGTGGACTTACCCATCATGCCCATTGGACAGCAGGTTGTCACTTTTCTGACAATACATGTCTGGAAAAGAAGTTTAGAGTCATATTTGGGTCATCTGTGGTAAAAGGAAGAGGAACAGTCATTGAGTCATCAAAACCTTTTACCAAAATAGAGCTGAAAATCGTGTTCCCAGTTCAAGAAAAAAAATGAGTATTTTCACTTAGTTTTCTTAACTACAGAAAATCAAATGAATGTCCAAACTTGGTATGTAATGTAACTTACATGTAATGTAATATGTGTGTGTGGGGTCTCGGTCACTTCGCCCCATTTCCACTTCGCCCCATCCCCACTTCGCCCCATCAATTATCGTTTATTCTGTTCTTTAGTATCAGGCACATAAGTAAAAACATCGATGTTTGAGTACCCAAATAATGATCAGAGAATCCAACTTGTAAAGGCCAAAACAATGCTTCCGATTTCCTGACCGACCCAAATTTTCGGCAAGACCCTAAAATTTTTATTAGCAAGTGAGAAAAAAAAGTAATATGTGACCTCACGTATCAAAAAAAATTGATGTTGCAAGATTTCTTTATGTTAATTCTCAGAACTTAGTATCTTGTCTATTTGTGAAGTTTCTGTGTCCCTGAGTTAAATTTCAGGTTGTCTTGCTTGTACTTGAAGCGAGCATGTTTCCACAAAATCTCCTGTGTGCCGAGCTTTATCCGATCAACCAGGCACAGCTGAAATAACTTGAAGAGGATGAGAAATAAACCCAATGCTAGTCCAACCATATTGTATTAATTCACCATATGGACAACACAGTTGACATTAACCCTCCTTTAGTTTTACAGCACAAATATGCACAAGTGCCCAAGGTCACTCTCTTGCATGTTGGTGCAGTGCACAACACAACACAGTTGTGCTTCTTTGAGGTGTTTACCAAGTGACCCAAAGAGTGACTTCAGCATAGGAGGGTTAATTTAGTGAATGCCGTAGAGTTTTCTATACTTACTACATGTTATTTGTGGAACTCCTCTCTCGACCATTTTTTTGACGAGGCTTGTATAACACTCGAGCACGGATGGCAAAGTGGAAATGAAGCGAAGTGGAAATGCCCTCTGATGTGGCGTCATATGCAGGGGGTCCTTAGCTCATACCCCAAATAAAAATCCTCCAAATTGACGTACAAAATGGTCCTTAAACTGTCTATTGAGTCTGGCTTTGGATTAAGTGAGAATTGGAGATTCCAGTAATGATAATAAGGCTTGCTCACATGTGGGAAGAAAAGAAAAATTTCCCCTGTAAATTTTGAATGAGTTAAATAGAAATTATTAATTTAAGGGGTTACAGTGGAATTGATAAGTTACTCCGGTTTACAATATAAATATCAAAATCTCGTCTCAAAATCAAGTCAACTTGTTCAATTAAAACAACCCCCGTACACTAAAAACATCTGGGATGCATACCAACAAGCAAAAGGGACAGGTTAGTGTGATTGGTAAATTTTTCTGCTCGGTACAGGAATATATATGTAGGTTATCAAACCATACTATATTTTCAATTGTCATTTCATGAATTTCTTTTTTCACACAGGTATTTGTGTCATTGTAAATTCCTTCTTTATCACCCGTCCTGGTTTGTGCCAGTATTAGAGGCGTTGTTCACAAATCACCTACTGGAACTAGTAAAACAACAACAGTTTGTAACATGGCTGGAAATGGTGAGTTGATGCTTTTTCATTGTTTACATCACACTGAATAATATTGCACATAAAGAGCACACTAGGAAGGACCCTTGTCTCAGGTGATATTGAAAACCAGTCTTCGAGTATGTGTGAGCTTTGGGAAATATTGGTATTGTTTTTGAACAGAAGACGACCAGGTGCTTACCTACGTCTGGGACCAGGATGAGAAAAGCATCTTCATCGGTGTGGAGTCAGGGCCAGGAATCCGCAGCGAGGATGTAGACTTTGATATCACCAGCAGAGACTTACATCTCAGACTCAACGGTATGATGCACCCTCGGATATAGCTCTTCCCCCAGTAGACTTCAAGTTTTCAATTTGTGATGCTGAGAGAGAAATCTAGCCCGTGTAAAACCTAAGTGGTGCCTGCATTTACGAGTAGTACAGGAATAGGGTACCCCGTCGAAGTAATACTCGGTACCCTATTAACCATGAAAGAAACTTAACACTAAAAGGTCAAAAGAAAAAAAATAATGACTTTTGCAAAGAATACATTGCCATTGTTAATTCTATCTCACCCCAAAGGCTTGTTTGCATCATTTGGGCATACATTTAGGTATGATATCTGTTCAGCATTCCGAGCTGTATGGTTATTATTTTAGAATTCCCTTCCCCATGGAAACCTTTTTTAAAATCTTTCTTTGTTTACATTGCTGTCTGGAAAGTTGCTACATAGTTAGTTACAGATACCTGGTCCCATAATGTGTAACTGGTTTCTGTCATTAATGGTAAAGTACTTGAGTCCATTGTTTTGACGTGACCTCTAGCCTTAAATCAACAGAAAGTGGCCTTTCTGACCCAGACTACCCCAAGATTATGGCATAGAAATGACACAGTGGAAGTTCGGTATATGTTGAGCAATCCCATGTCTGCTTTTGTGAGCATTTCTGCTGCTTGACAGGTGCCCATTTTTAATAGGGAACTGATCAAAAGGCAGTGGAAAAACTGGTATTGATCGGCACACCCACTTGAAGCCTTATTCCTGTGTGCTCCCACAGATGGTCGCAGTTGGCACTGTGTGTTCTACAGGGAGGTGAACCACCCCTCCTGCTTCTATCACATCGATAAGAGAGACGTAGGATTCCAGATAGAGAAGGCTTTCCCTGGTGAAATGTGGCCACAGCTAATGGTTCGTGCTGTACGCTGTAGCTCCCTCGTAGACATAGATCTTACTGACCAGGGGTCGATCTCCTGGACCTGGTTTGCGCTGACATTTTTGCCATGCACGGAATTGCTAATAGAGGGTTTACATGGCTGCCATCTTGCAGGCCAGTGCTTTTGTTCTACAGGGTATGCACAGTGGAGGTTTCCCTGTGGAACAAGAGAACTGCCCAGCAAGATGGCTACCACGCACAGCCTCTATACTCCGGAAATGGGTTTGTAATTAGCATACCAAGTGGGCCTCTGCCTTGGTTGTATTATGTAAGATTTTGCCCGGCAGATCACTTTCCGCCAACACTTTCAGTCTCTCCTAATTGGTATAAATGGGTCCTCAGTTTTACTCAGTGTGCGCGGATCACAGAGTCACAACATTGGCGTATTAAGAGTCCAATGCCATTTCCATTGTTATCCGGTCTTTTTTCAGGCTGATCCAGATGCCATGGGGGACTGCAGTCAGTTCTCACCTGTTCCCCCTGTTCCCTCAAGATCCACTGAGGTGTCCTCTTTCCTGCCCCCCCCCCGCCCCCACCGCCTCCCCGTGCCCCATCCCGCCAGCAGTCGGTCCATGCCCCTGTGCCACCAGCCCTGTCTGACATCGACATCCAGCGGCCACCAAAAGGTATGTGATTTTTTTTTTTCATGCATTTTCAACACGACAGTTGGCCACATTTCAATATTTGGCAAAAAATGCAGTTCTGTTTTCAGAATGAATTAGATTCATGTTTACGTAAGATGTCTAATGTTAGCTTTTCATAAAATTAAAATTCTAAAATTTAGTATTGGATGAATTTACGAATGAAGTTGCCATTTCAAGTGAATAAGGACTTTCCAACATTTTCTTAGCAGTTCAGCAATCATACCTTAAAACATTTCCATGACTTTTCTTCTGAAGACTAGGCTTGGATGGTATCGCATTTTTTAAGACAGCGATATTCGTGATGAATATACAGTGATATTCACTAATATGATATTCTTTAAAGTGGGATATTAGGTGTGCATCATCAGATAGCCACAGAGATAAGCAGTGACATTCACTGGGAATGCCAGCAACTACTTCTGACTTTCAGTTAGACTCTAAAAAGCTTCATGTAAACCAAAACCACAAACACAGTGATAAGAGAGATAATAAAACTTCAAAGGCTTTTGGCTGGTGGGTTGGCAGTTGATTAAGTTGCATGTCACCAAGTCCAAGTGACAATGTAGACATGGCACTGGATGACTCTTACCTCAAAAGATGGAGTGAAGTACGACAATGTGGTGGTGTTCCTTTATTTTCAAAGCGTATCAGTAAGAAAACCATGGTATCCAAATTCTGTACGGTATTTGCTGGTATTGATGGACCACCAGTCGGTATTTTTTGGTATTTACAAAATACCGCCACTGTCTGATAATACCGAAATATCATTAAGCCTACTGAAGACCAAATGGAGATCTAACGTTCATCATTACATTTTCAATTTTTGAGAGGTTCAACTTTTTAGGATGAATGGAGTGTTACGTTCAAACCAGGCCCTTTGTGAAAAACGAAATGATTCACAGTATTTCAATTTCATTTCTGTGTTATTTCTTTTCAGCATACATCATTAATCATGCCAAGAATGACTGGTTTGAGAAAGTAAGTAAACCATGGTGGTTTTCTTCACGGGATTCAAATATTAGAATTTATTATTGGGGTCTTTATGTTAATGTGTTCTTCACTTGAGTAGGAGAATTTAATGAGTCATATCCTCAGTTTGACAACTTCATAATTTTAAACACTGCTTTCCTTTTTCCTTTTCATCGAAGGAGTCGTCTTTAGCTCTTCAAATGTACATAAAGGAAATTGACAAGGAGTCGGCTGATATCATTTTCCGAGACCAAGAAATGACAGTCAGGTTCAAGACAAAGTGAGTGTAAATCAGTGAACTTATTGAATTCAATGGTATATGAAAGTTGTGGCTGGTTATTGACTGCTAGGTTGAATTCACCCGAGAACAAGTCCCAGACACCTCATGCCATGGATGCTTAACAGCTCATTTTCCTGCTTAGCAGCTCATTTCCCTGCTTAGCAGCTCATTTCCTTACTTTTACAATAGTATGGAAACAGAGGCTCTGCATATTTCATTGGAAACGTACGTGTAAGCGCAGCAAAAGGCAGGCTTACCTGAGAGAAAATGTTTGCTTTACTTAGTGAAGTAACAATGGACATCTCCAAACATGCCGAACCCTTAGCACAGCCTCGCCGTGAAATCATGCTTAGAAAAATACTTCTTGTCTCTTGAGCATAATTTTCTTGCTAGTTTTTAAAGCAGTGCTATGAAATTGAGCTCAAAACCACTCCTGCTAAAACATTCTCTTATTTATTCTTGCGCACTCTAGTGACAAGAACTTCTTGCAGCTTCACCCGGATTCCCACGAAGACACTCTCTTCAGCTGGACAATCCACTTGAAGTAAGTCACCGTGGATCTGGGGAGACGGAAGGGTGTTGTGTGACAAGCGCCCCCTACGTTCAAACTCTTCTCTTTCAGTCTTGTGCGGGGATAGCGTGCACATCCTTTTTGTTTCTTAGCTGTGTGAATATGGACCACGATGAGTCTTTGAAACCACCAACAGCTGGCAATGTTTTTACTGATAATTTCAAGTGTGACTCCAAGTGTTTGAACCCGTAGTATAATATATTTATTATACGGGACTTTCATTTGTATCAGAAAAGGTAATTTTTGAGATGAAATTTGTCTTTCGGATAAATATTTTGTTTCATTTTGTTTACCTGCTATTCCTTTTTGACCGTGCTGTACCAACTTTGTTGCCCGGGTTTCTGTGGCATCGGTCAGTTGTGCATGTTGCATCTCCACGCCCTGTAAGATTTGATCGAACATAAAGAATTTTTGACTCTGCTAAACTCAATGGACAAAATCTGAATGGGACGCATCACTCGTGTGGAAAAACGGTCATGTTGAAGGGAAGGATTTCCTTTAAGTGACTACAGTCTTCAGGTGAGGCCTTTACACATGCATTTCAGGAAAAAACTCCATGTTGAAGGTGGGAGTTTTACAAAATTAATCGTTGATAAGCATGGATTTTACGGATGTTAATATGAGGTGATCGTGGGGCAGCATGTGCATTATAAGCGTGTTTGCTAGCAGGATTCACAGCAGGATCGAGAAACCAAAATGGGAATCCTCATATAGAATCTCCACTGAACAAAGGGCTGCTGAACGCATTGGAAATAGGACGCGTGCTTCAATAATCCTCATGAACACCCCTTTTTAATGAATGGAATAGGCGCACAGGCCATTGTACGCACATCACGCACAAACCCCTTCCGTCCCCCCGCTGCCGCAGATGATGCAACTGTCAGTTGTTCCATTGCAGGAGTAACTCCCACCTTACGTCTCATCTGAAATTAACGTCAACCTTTGTTGAACCTTTTCACTTTTCATTTGATACGTACACACCCATACAAAGTTGATTTTTTTTTTTTTTTTTTGCAAAGAGTGATCATAGTTTGAGAAAAGCCATTTCTAGTTACACATACCTGTATCACCGCTCTGAAGACGGCTCTGTGAAATTTCCATCGAGACTGTCATCGCGTGTAATTTGGCGATGTTGCTGTTTTTGGCCTCACCTCCTTTCCCTGCGCTCCACCTGCAGGAGTTCCATCTTACCCGAGAAGTGCACTTACAAGATAAACCAACACAAGCTGGAGGTGATCCTGAGGAAGAAAGTGAATGAGAGATGGGGATTGCTGGAGAGGCCCATGACTAAACGTAGGTGTGGTCTCAGCCGAATCAAGTCAGACAAAAAAAAGCAGGAACAACGGGCTGATCATTTTTTACACAGTTTAAAAACTTTTTTTGACATTTGAACCGGAACTGAAAAGTAAGAGAAAAAAAATTGAGATTTGCCAAACACAGTCAAACCTCGTTAATAAGTGGTCCCTCTGACTTGGCAAATGACCTTGTTATAACAGAAAGATTGTCTTTTCATGAATAAAAACAATGGAAAACAAAGGATTGTGACTTAAAAATGTCCTTGTTATAAGGAAAATCATGTATTACCAGAGCTCTTATTAATGAGCTAGACTATATCCCAAAGCACTCATCGAAAGAGGGATTTGCAATTGTACAAAGTGTAAAAAAAAGTGTGAGAGTTAAAAATAATCTCATATGCGAGGTAAATATGGCATTGTTGGTGCCAGGTAAAAAAAAAAAAAGGACAGCTGTAATACACCAGAGTAAACATCGGTGCATCGTACCAGCAAATAAAATAACCTTTCCTGTTGTCTTTTACCTCATTGTACTTCAGTGTGATTCTCCAATAAAGACTGTGTGTGTCTTATCTATTTGGCTGAAGGCTTTGTATGCACAGTGGGGAATAAAAAGGGCCACTTGGTTCAAATAATGAGCGGAAAAGGATCTGGATTCGTGTTTACTCAACAGCCAATTCAGCGGTCCACACGAGCGGTAGCAACAAGTGGATGCCGTTATCTGCCGCCAAGAATCAAGATGTGGACGAGATGGCCAAAGACGCGGGCTCCGAAAAGGACATGATGAGAGGGGCGGTGGGCGGGGCCAAGTCGGTGGACGCGGGGGCGGATAACAGGCCACAGGTAAAGGCACTGTAGAATACTTTATTAAAAGTAACTGTGTACTTCATCACTGGACTGTTCTTCCCCTAATTTCACTTGCCATTGTTTTATCTCATTGCTTGCCCCTTAACAGCCTCTCGTTCACAAGCCAACGTGCACAGTGCCCCCACAGTCACACCTGCCAGGCACCAGTCAGGCAGCCGCCAAGCCCGACCTGTACTACAACCCTGGCTTCACAGGGCTGGACAACCTGGGCAACACCTGCTTCATGAACAGCGTGCTGCAGGTCCTGGCCAACACGAAGGAGCTCAGAGACTACATGCTAAGTGAGAGCAGTCACCGTTTATCACTGGTTTGTTTCTTGGAGTGACGTGAACACTCTGCCTGCACACCTGACCTTGTCATTGATCTCATGATATCCCAACAGAACATCGTCTGCAACTTGGAGAAACCTCATGGCGTCAGACCGCTCCCAATGAGTTTGGAAACATCTATTCAAAATGATACACGCAGCTTCACGGCAGTGGAATTGCACAGCATTGCCAGGAACTTTTTTATAAGATTGCACTAAAATTGAAGACAGAGTTTTGAAAAATTAGTTACTGAAATAAAATTAAAACCAAGTAGATTTCAGTAAGTGTACTTCAAATTGGTGGAGTTGGGGGGGGGGAGGAGTACGATAACACCAATTTGGAGGAGCGGAACCCCGTTGCTCCTGAGACGCCCATACCACACCTTGGTTATTAACACTCCTCTGTTGAAGTCTCTCTTTGGGTCAATTGGTAAGCCGCACAAAGAAGCACAGCTGTGTCGTGTTGTGCACTGCACCAACAGTCCCTCACAGGAATATCAGATTGCACTTTCGTGCCGTCCAACGACTGTGCCTCGCTGTTTCATATGCATAATTGTGCAGTAAACCAAATGCAGTGAAGAGGACTGCACAAAAGACCCTATGTCATTTTGTACACTCTGAACCTGTGCATGTTTGTGTTCCATATAGAAAGAGTGACTGTCGGTATTTGAAGGAGTTTAATATTAGTTATTTTTTTAAATTTCTTTTCCACTTCCTAGATTCTAACATGAAGAGTGAGATTAACTACAGCAACCCGCTGGGCACCGGTGGAACCCTGATCCTGACATTTGCTGTTCTCATTCGGACGCTTTGGTCCGGCAAGTTCAGGTCCTGCGCTCCCTCCAAACTCAAGGTGTGTGCTTGTTGAAGTGAAATACAGCGACCCTCGGTTTGGTGCGATAAGGCATATTCAAGCACCTGTGCATCGAAAATTCGGGTGGTTGCCAACATTGTTTGTTAAATTTGTCTTCAGGGGACAACCTCCCTCAGTTTTTTTCTTTTCTCTTCTTGATGCAGAACACAGTCGCGAGTAAAGCCAGTCAGTTCATGGGTTTTGCGCAGCACGACGCTCAGGAGTTTATGGCCTTCCTGTTGGATGGCCTACACGAGGTGAAGACTGTTCATTACATTGCGATGTTCCTGAACTTGTACCTTGCCTTGAATGCATTTGAAATGAGTGTTGCACGATTTGCAGTCGTGTTTCATTCTGAAAGAAGATTCTTCAAATCAGCTCAAAATTGTGACGCGAAGAATAATTTTCAAATGTCAACTTCTCTCTCCAGGATTTGAACAGGGTCAAGAACAAGCCTTACATTGAGGCACAGGATTCCGACGGCAAACCAGATGAGGTAAATGCAGTGGAAAGACTTTGAAATCTGAAATAAAATGACACTTGCTTTCGACTAGCTTTACCTGTATACAGAAGGAGAACTGTCTTTTGAATCCACATTGTACACAGTGGTTCATTGTGGATATCTGACCTTTCAACCTGCGACTTTTTAACCTCACAGGAAGTGGCAGAGACAGCCTGGCAGGCACATAAGAAGCGCAACGACTCCTTCATTGTGGACCTGTTCCAGGGACAGTACAAGTCCAAGTTGGTCTGCCCAGAGTGTGGCAAGGTAGTCAGGAACACCTGTCGTTTTTCAATAAAGTAGTCATGCAGGCAGTGTAGATTTGACCTTTGACCGTTGCTGATGTCCCTGAGCAAGGCACTTGACTGCGGTTCCTTTTTTTCATCCCCCCGTGCATCCGTGCCGTGAAGAGTGTGACTTTTTGCAAGGTTCCAGCTCACAAATTTTTGTATTTTTTTCTGTCACTCTTTGCAGGTGTCTATAACCTTTGACCCCTTCATGCACCTGTCTGTCCCGCTTCCGAAGAAGAAAAGAGTTTTGCCCGTGTTCTTCTTTTCAAAGGACTACTACCGGAAACCGGTGAAGGTATGTGTGGAAAGAAAAATGTAAGATGTCGACTAATGTTTATCCTTGCAAATCGTATCTATTATGTTGGGAGCTTTGTCGTAATTAATCAGTAATAACTTCAGAAGAGCATCATTGGAGAGCAGCAAGTTCTTCATACACTGGAATCTAATGTGGCCTGTATACATGTTCTTTTTACAGTATGTGGTAGCGCTGTCTACGGACGCTACTGTGGAAGAGCTCAAGTCAGCTGTGGCCAAGAAGACTGGAGTCCAGGCTATCAATGTGTGTATTACACCCCTGTATTAAACACGGAACCATAGCCGTATTGGTTCATCGCATGAGCGTGGCGATTTCATTGCTACAATTTGCTTTGTTGTTGGAAAGCTGAATAATCCGATTTTATTTGAATCATCACGTATGTAAAGAAGTAGAAAGAGACCAGAAAAAACAGCAAAACTGTGAAGAGAAAGCACAAAGTGAGTTTGAAGATCTCATTGCCAATTTTCAAATTGCCATTTAGTCTGGCAAATATCATCTGGTTTTTTTGTTCCCATGTATGGTGTGCAGTTTCTTGTCTGCAGAGTTTTGATTTAGGATTATGGAAATGTCCTTGCAAACGGTGTCCCAGTGTGGACATTGTTTTTCTCTGAAAATGTACATGATTCACGAAAACACCCCCAAACCAAAAGCGGAATCGTCTTTAAACACTCTTCGACAACTCTTTGAGCACAAACACAAGCTTCATTCTGGTTTACTTTCGCCTCCAATCAAGTTTTTAAATTGGCCATTTGGACTTCGCAAAGGACGCAAAAGCCAAAGTGAACATGTGGTTTAGAAGTTTATATAGCACTTTGACGGTTGTTGGCTTTGCTGTCCTTGCAGTTACGGGTATTTGAAATGTACCGCAACAGGGTCCAGAAGATCTTCAACAAGGCCAGCAGCCTCAGCAGCGTGTCCAACACCGACATCATATTCGTGTAAGTTTGCTTGCCCGGGGCCAGGGTGCAGAACTACTCGCCAGCACTGGGACCGGGATTCAACTGTCAATCGTGCCTACACGAAGGAGTCCCATATCTCGGACCGTCTTCCGTGTATCTTGACTTTCTGGTTTGAGTTTTTTAGCAGATCCATGGTTTTCTGCCATAAAAACCGAAAGCGCAGCCAAGAGCGGCAAAGTTTGCCGCTGTTGGATTTAGATTTCACCCCCGACCCCCCCCCAAACACTAGTCACAACCCCGAGTGCTAAGCCATGCTGCTTGACGCCCATTCTCTTCTTGTTCCTCCCCTCCCCCCCCTCCTCATGCAGATGTGAGGTTTTGTCCAAGGAGATGTCCGGCGAAGAAGTGCAAGAAGTCACAGTCATGCAGGTCAGTCACTTCTAGCTGGCAAAAATAAAAAAAAAATTGGGGTGTAAATTACAAATTTCATCTTTGACTGATCCCCTTTGTGACGGTAAATCTGTACTTCACACATTCAAGTGTACAATCCACGGTCCTACACTCCCAAAGAAGTAGGCAGCCATGTTTAAAAGATAGTTAGATATCCTTGGCAGAGGTCATTTGGGCTCACCATAATAGTCTTGACTGACCCATTCAGCTGTAGGCAACTAGTAAAGTTTGAGGAACTGACTCGTTGACTGACTCAATTTGCTTTTCTTTCTGTGAATAGAGGTTTAGGCACCATCAAGATTTCAGGCAACCCGTGGACACTTGATGTTAAGTTACCAATCTGTAATTTCTGTTTTTGGTTCTGATCTCCCCCCCCACAGCGGATGACAATGCCTCCCCCTGTGTCCCGGTGCTCATACTGTAGGAAGGATAGGGAAGCAGACCACCCGCTCAAACACTGTACCAAGTGCTTCAGGGCAGGATATTGTGACCAGTGAGTAGATTGAGTTGTGACCAACTGAAATGTAGTTGATGGCTCAAGTGTACTTGATGAAGGTAGTATTTGATTGGAATAGGCCATAAAAACCCAACAACCACAACAAGAGATAATGACTTTATTCAAAGTGTTTCTGGACGGGTTTCTGACGATCCTATCAATGAAAGCTTATTTTATGTCCTACCTTTAGGCAAGCTATTTCAGAGAGTCCACTCGGGACACTTTTGCAAAATAGGTTGGACATGTGCCACACTAATTAAAAGGAATCATTTCTGGTGTTGCCACTTTAGTCCAGTTTTTAACATTCAATCCAATCAGTCAGATCCTTCAAAATCTACCAGGGGGATTTGGGACTATTCTTTGGGATTGAGGGAAGTGAAACCCAGCCACTATTATTCCCTTCACAAGGCCAGTCACAAGTTCCTTCACAAGTCCAGTCACAAGTCCCTTCACAAGCCCAGTCACAAGTCCCTTTACAAGGCCAGTCACAAGTCCGTTCACAAGCCCAGTAACAAGTCCTTTCACAAGGCTAGTCATAAGTAACGGGGACCAATGATAAAAGATGCTTTTGTCACCCCTCATATGAATAGCTTGTGAATTAGCCTAGGACTGAATGAGTTGTGATGGACTTACAGGGAATTGTGATGGACTCGAATACAACACTGCCTTGTAGCTTAAGGACAAAATATCTGCTGTTGGTTTCATGCCTCGCAATTATGAGGCCATGGTGTTTGAGTTAACTAAAACAAAGAAATATCCTAGAAATAAGGATGTTCATTCCAAGTCAATTTGAGAATTTGAGAAAATTAATTTTCTCCTGTCAATTTTGTGTCAACAGCAATTGTCAGAAGAAGCACTGGCCTAGCCACAAAATGACCTGCAGGCGAGACTTGGAGCCCGTTGGCTGTCCCTTCATCATCAGCCTACCTGCATCCCGTTGTACCTACGCCAGGCTCTGCCAGGCTATGGAGGCATTCGCTAGGTACAAAAAAGGGGCTTTTGACAACTCTATCCAGCATTTTTATTGGACTCATAATCAAGCTCTTCAAACATTTTCTGCCAAGAGGTCGTGTTTCAACTTTCCTGCTTCCACTTGGTATATAGAGTCGACTCTCCATATAAAGAACACTTTTACGAAAAAAAAAATGCTCAAGATCTGAGAATCCCAATCTCTTGAATTTGTGTTTTTTGTTGTCTTTCCACTCCTTTTGTAGTCCTGGTTACAGCAAAGTAATGGTGCCGTGAACTTTGTGATAATTTGAGTTGACTACGCCTTTCCTTCACAGAGAAGCATTTGGAAGCATCATTAATGTTCAAGTTACTGTTCACACTCCCGTTTCCGACTAAAATTGTATGCGCCCCAAAAATGCAAATTTGCCAAATCAATGTGTGAAAGCGTTAGAATGATGGCTTTCACCCTTGGTGCTTGGCATCTTTATTGCATAGTGTATTGTGAGTTGGTTCTGCTCATCTTCAGAGAAACGGGCCATACTTGATGACTGTACGATCATCAGGACTTAAAGCATCTGAAATTTGGACCCAGTGACGGAGTTCTCTTTTCTTCAATCCCTCTTCCTTCTACAGATACTCCACAAATATATTCCAACCACCAGTGACGCCCAGTTGCAAGCCGCCCACTTCAACCGCCCCCCTGGGTACCACCCCACCCGCCGAGACAGCGGATACATCCCAGTCGCCCCCTCTGGTCAGGGGCCAGGGTGATGCAGCTGGACTGGCCCATTCTGAAGACAGGGTGGACGCGGGTGGAGAGGGCGGGGTGAAGCCAGAGGGCCCCGGGCAAGAGGAGACTGGACTGGAGACGTCGGCAGAGCGCATCGACGAGGCAAATCAGGAGAGCATGAAGCACAAGTCAAATGATGGTGTTGCAACAGGTGGGCCCCCCCCCCACAATCCCATTTGAGGCTCATGTTAAATTCCTAGCCCTTAAAATTCCGCTAATCCAATCTGCATGCTGGCTAAAGTGACTTAGAATATGCTAACCCAAAAGTTAGAAGGCTTGGCATTCTGATCCTGGCAGAATATGGCTCAAAGGCAGAATGATATTACTATGCCCAAGCAAGGAACCCACCAGGAAGAGTAGCGCTGTATGTTGAGGGAAAAATCCTACTCTACTTGTGGTAAGTGAATACGGCTATTCACGATAGTGCGCCACCAAGAGTTTGCAACGTGTTGGCCAATCACAACGCGCGAAATTGGTCGACCCAATGCGCGTTTGGAAATGGTCGACAAATTTCGCACGTTATGATTGGCCAGCCTGTTGCAAACTCTTGGTGGTGCACTATTGTGAATCGCCCGTATTTCATAATCATTTGTGAACCGGCCAAGTGCAGTTGACAGAAAAATTGTGCCTTCTCTTGGTCTCACTTGGACCTTATAGCACTGTTGGCGTGGTTCATTTTTTTCATTGACGTGGAGTTTTTTCTGTCCTTGTGCAATGCAGCCACCATCCACGGCCAGCCCCAGTTGCCGGAGAGGACCATGCCGCCGTTCTTCATCAAGCCGGTCAACATGGCCGGCCACGGAGTGGTCAGACCTAACGGGGAACGCATCGGTGACAAGGGTAAGCGAACCGTTGCTGCCGTAAAACCTCATCGTCCAAATTGGCTCCAGAAAAATCTGAAATGAACCTGTCTGTGAGGCCACTCTTGATCAAACCAGGAGAATCTCATAAAGCCCCCCCCCCCAGAAATTTATTTCAGATCCTATTCAGGAATAACCAGTGACCGCCAGATATTATACCATGCTGTAATATGTTATCACGTCTGTAGTAAGGAGCCGTCGATAAAGAATGTATGCACGAAGGGGGGGGCTGGTGCCGTTGCGTACACCATGCGTAGGGAGGGGGTTTGAAGCCAGTGCGTACTGTACGCAAACCGAACATTTGCCTTTAATGAATATTCATCATACCGATACGCTTGCTCATGCAAATAAATACCCTAATCAGCTTTCAGGAAACTTTTTTCCCTTTTCACTACACACCACAGGTGACGTTCCCATTGATCTGACTCAGTACGACTTCCTGGCGATGGACTGGAGGAATGATCCCAAGCAACAGAACCACGTCTTGGTGGAGTCAAAGCCTCTGGTGAGTTTCAGCTACCTCTCGTGACATTGTGCCCACTGTCGGGAGGGAAGGGTCTTGCTGTCTTTTGCTTTCCGCGTACTTTACTGCGGATTCCATGCAGCAGTGGGCGAGCGAGAGCAATTGAGCACAGGAATTTGCTTAACAAACTTCATACCAAAAACGGGTTACCGGCCAAATTGTCACACTGTGTATATATCTTGTAACTGGCTCCCGGCTGATTGTTGCTTGGTGCACTGATTTGCTTAACGACATTTTCTGCTTGGCAGTTCCGTCAAATTTGGCCCGGGATACTTCTTCCATTGAAGGCCACCAAGGCACCCTTTCTGCCATGCATCTGAGCACCATCACTCTTGCGTATACAGGGAGACGCTGTGCACATTCAGATAAACATTGATAGCACGCGCCCCCAACTGCACACCCATGTCTGTGCCCATTGGACTGAAAATTGATTGCTCACACTCCAAGCCGTGCACACGTGAGCACCAGCGTGCACATGCGCAAGGTACGCTAGAGTAACTCACTTGAGTAGGCAAGACAGCACCCCCTACAGTGCACGCACACATCAAAAGACACCTTCTCCTCCAGGTCATTGCTAGCTGCGAGCGCCAACTCGGCCTTTGACCCCCACACAGATAATCTTCTCAAGATGATGTTCAGTCACGCAGATTAGTTCCAAGTGCCAAGCCTCTCCCCTCCCACATTTGGAATAACCTCCCCTCCGGTTTACTCGGTTCTGACAGGAGTACGAAGAGGACGACTCGGTGTATGAACAATACGAGGAAGAGAAGAGCACGACCATCGACCACTGCCTCAATCTCTTCACCGAGCCTGAGAGACTGAATCCAGAGGAAGCATGGTAAGCCCTCCCTCCACCTTGCCACATCACCTCCAGTCTCTTCAGAGGCTTATCTCTTGTGGCATTTTTCATCCTTGCACTGGTGAACTTAACTGTGACTCTTATGTCTGGAACCTGTACGGCTCTGAACTCTGTAGTCGTGACCGTTCTCTATACATTGCGGACACATTCAAATTGAAGTTTGTTCTGGTTGACACATGCCTTTCTTGGGTCACGTGCATGGAGTATGTCAGAAAGTACGAACAGTTGACATTCCTGGCTGACATGTCTCAGATAACTGAGCATGTCACTAGAACAGTATATCCCATTAAAATCAAATTGGTGTCAAAGTGATTGTAAGACATTACAGGGGGACTGAACTGCTATTAGGCCCAAACAAGAAGTACACTGCAGCTATACTGGAGGAAACATCAGGGGAAAGATTCTGCCCCCCCCCCCGCTCGGCTCTTTCAAGGTTAAATGTCACTGTGCTCGTGGCCGCTGAAAAGGCCTTCACTGCGACTCTATAAGAATCACACCAGTTTCGTCACGGTCAATGCACCTGTCATTGGGCTCTCGTTGCAGGTACTGCCCTCAGTGTAAGGAGCACCGGGAGGCCACCAAGCAGATGTCCCTGTGGAGGCTGCCCTCCTCCCTCATCATCCAGCTCAAACGTTTCTCCTTCAAGAACATGATCTGGCGGGACAAGATTGACAAGCTGGTGCGCTATCCAATCAGGTGAATAGTCTACCCGGCGACTTGACGTCATTGGGATATCCTGAAGCTGCTGCCCTGGAGGTTTTATCTGAATGACATATTAGTTTCAAACAAACCGTGTAGGGAAAGCGACTAGTTGCTTACACAGTATGATAAAGATGTACAAAGAAATGAACTGGAGCAGAGTTTGAACGCGTGACTTTCCGCAACACCATACTGAGGTTTCTCGTTAATCATAACAGATTACAAATATGGCAAAGTCTGATATAAATGTGTGTGTAAAAGTTGTACAAATGGCAAATTAAGTGCTGAAATAACTTTTCTGGAATTTTTGTGCTCACACAAGAAGTGACACTATGTACCACGTGCAACAGAAAAAACAGTAAATCTAAGTCACATGCTACCAGAGGTGATTGAAAAAGTTACCCAATAGGCCCTGCTCTTTTGACGTCACCGTCAACCGCTGCCAAAACTACGGTTGGCTGTCATTACACAAGTAAAACAATTAAGTCACAAAGTTTTAAAACCACATGCAACTATAACAATATGTGTACTATTGGATAGTTCAATAATATGCTGCCCAAACTTAATGGGACAAATGTCCATTTTGAACCAATCGGAGGTAAAATCAGAAACCAACCAAAAAGTGATATTTCTGCAACCTTTGGCCGCCCGTACAAGTTGTAAGCAAAGTGAGAGTGGTCTGCATTGAATTGAATTCTTGTTTATACAAATACAACAGCTGACCTAAAGGGCATATGTCAGAAAGAATTTCAGTGCTTTGTAGATGCCAACCTTACTTTACGCACAAGAGGAAAGAAAGAAGAAACATAGTCATCGTCGTTTTTCTTGTCCTTTCTGATAACCCTGCAGAGGTCTGGACTTGTCCCCTTACTGTCACGGGTTGAAGGGTCCAGTACCGCCCATCTACGACCTGTATGGAGTCATCAACCATCACGGGGGGATCCTGGGCGGACATTACACTGCCACGGCCCGCCTGCCCAGCCACGAGAGCTGGAAGAAGAACGAATATGGTGAGTCGTCAGATGGGGAAAGCTGGAAATTAAACCAGTTTGTTGGCCGGTCTGTTGCTTCCGTATCTGTGTTTGTGTACAAAGACGTCCCACAAAACAAACAACTCTAGCTGAACCATTGTCTGCAAAATCCCACCACAACTTGTATTTTCTCTGCTGTCGGCGTTGCTAGCTGCCTTCAGAGCTGCCATCACCTCTCTCGATCAGTAACATAACTAGGGTGAAATTTCTGTGGGGGTGCACGGGGGTGCATCAAAAGCAACTGAACTACGGCTGTGTACATTTCAAAATATCAAATGAGGGGGAGGTGGCACAGGGGAAGGGGGCACCAAGTTCCCCCCCCCTCCCAGTTACAACAGTGCATGCAATGAATTCAAGCCAGTGGTTTCCGTGTTCTTGATTATGAGAAAAGACTGTTGATAACTGTCAGGTAGCCCCTGACCTGCTGCTTGTGGCTGCCTGGCCTGTCCATCCATTTTTCAAGCGACGTTGGTCGAAACACAGCTACAGTTGCTGCTGGAACTTGTCATATGCCTTATGAACATGTTTGCTGTATTTGGTCATAAAGAATTTGTAAGATTGAAGTTATTATTTTTTTTTTGGAACTAATTCCCCGGGCATTTGTGTGAGGAATCTTCCTGACTCCTACCGTGCCGGAAACTCGGTGGCAAATTCTTTGTGCTTGAAAACTTGTCAAATGCAGAAAAGTGTCACTGAAGTGAACAGTGGCTGTGTTCGACCTTCCTCGATTTAGCAAACGCCCTCCGAAACAAGACCCTGGTGCATTTTGAAGGACTTCGCAGGGCTTAGGGTCAACAAACTTTCTTAAATTCAGAATCGGCATACTCTACACGGGTACCAGGCAAACCACTGAATTCGGATTGAAATATGGTGGAGTGTGAACCGGCGAAGTTGTTCCCTGAGCTGTTGGTCATGTGTTTTAATACAGAATGACTGGTCACACTTTTAGTAAGTATGTGACAGCCAAATGAGTTACAAATCACCAGAGCCAGTTCTGGTGTTGAGACTTTTAAGAGAATCTGGTTTAATGTAAACCACTGGGAGCCCTCAACATTTTTCACCCACACAATGCCCACTGTCATCAGGATGCCAAACAAAGAGCTCAGCTTGCCCTTTCTGTGGCATACTGAAAATAAAAATCAGTGGAAAAAAAAAGTGGTGGTAAGCCTCGCTTTGCAGGATCTAAGGCAAATATTGGTGCTAACCGACAAGCCTGCCGACAAGGTCAATGGCCTTCAAAACACAACTAATTTGTGGACCCCTAACCCTGGTTACTGGTCCCTCATCCAGATGGCCCTATGCCAATCTGACCATGGCCGGTTTCATTTCCTCTTCACCGGTGCCCACAGTGCCAGGATATCCTCCTGCTGATTAGTGACAGTATTTGTTTGTGTTTTGTTTTAGTTTCACCTTTGCCTTTGTTGCAAAAGATCCCCCGTAGGGCTACACTCTAACACCAGTAGCGCTTGGCAACATTTGGCTGTTTTTGTTTGTTTTTCCTCTTCACATGTCTTCCTGAATTGAAACTGGTTCTTAAAGTCGACACATTTGATCTTTGACAGATTTTCCCTCGGGGGAAAAAAAAGACTGCAAATCAAAATGTGAACTAAGCCTTGTTTTGCGCTTAAATTTTTGGTACATGACTGGACAACAAGCAACTTGTATCTGTTCAGCCTTAATTTTATGAATAGGGTTTAAGGAAGATATTCTGTTGTTAGGAAGGATACCTTCAGGAGACATGAGGCACTAGGGTGATACTTTGATATCCTTTTAATGCCTCAGCTCTTAAAGGAGACAACATTTTTGTTTTTTGTCAGAAAGTTAGTTAGTTGAGAGTCTGATTGTGCAGTGGACAAAAATTGGTTTCAACAGCGTTAACCAATTTGAAGTTCTAGGTTGTCACACTATGAGTCTATAAGAATGTCTCCCAAAGGGTACTATCTTGGGTGATTGAACTGTTTTGATCCTTTGCAGACTGGCGTCTGTTCGACGACAGCCACGTGTCTCAGATCTCCGAGAAGAATGTCTGCACCCAGTCGGCCTACCTCCTGTTCTACCGGCTGCGCCAGCCGTACGTTCCCTACGTGCCTTGCCCACCACCCCCACCGGGGGAGGCACCCATGGATTGTGAGCCGGTTCCGAGCAGCCCCTCATCCGAGAATGTCAACCCAAGAGACCAAGACGTGAAGATGACGGATGCGGAAGAGGCCGACGAACGCATGCAGGAGGGAGACGGGGAGGAAGAGGAGAAGGGAGGGAGGAGCCAGGAGGAGACCGAGTCTCGTCCAGCCGAGGGGGAGGTGGCTGGGGCTGCTTGCTCCAAGCTCACCAAGGACAAGGATGAAATTCCCTACACCAACATGGAAGACATCGATTAAGACTGCGTCTTTTCCTTTCTTTTTTTGGATCCTCGACCAGCCCCCCCCCTTCACTATTACCGCCCTCCTTGGATCTGGCCCAGTCAATCCTGCTCATTTGCTAAATCTACAGGATCCCTTAAATGGTTACAAAATAAAATTTAACACCTGTGAAACCAAAAATTTGAGATTTGAAACTTGCAAAACTTTATTTAACGTGTAAAGCTTATAAGGAAATTGAAACTGATATGGGATGTAAACCATGTACATAGGAATAACTAACTTTGTGCTCAGCCAGATAGATCTTAGTCACTGACTCAATAGCAGACAGGCATGGGCATGCAGATTTTAAAAGGAGCTGAAAACATAGAATTAACTAGTTTGGGGAGTTGTTATTCTGCAGTTGTGAAGTTCATCAGTTGACCTGGTGTCCCCTTTTTTCTTTCAATACTGATTAGTTTTACCTTGCCCATTTTCCAAACTTTCTATTCATTGTGGTTTTTATTTCCAGCCTCCGAATGGTTGAGGAGACTTCAGCGCTCAAAACCAAATCTTAATTTTTGGCCTCATATTACCCTGATTTGCTGTTCAGTTGGAGAGAATCAATCCAAGAACAGTTCGAATTGTGAGAGTGAAACCGAAACCACAAATGACACTGAAGTTTGGAAAAATGCCAGGTTCTCTGCAGGCAAATCTAATTGGATTCTGGCTTTCACTTACAGGGCTCTGTTCCAAACTTTTTTTAGCAACAGTATGGAGGCCACTAGTGGCCAGTTGAAGAAACTACACACTTTACAGATGTAGAGACCAGTGCGTTACCTTGCTCATTTCCAGACTGCTGCCGGTCCTGGAGTTATCTTTCCTGTTTAGTAACTTCTCGGTGCTGTCGTCAAGGTTACCGACAGTGCCTCTGTTGCCAGGTATTCCATAACGTAGCAACTCTCTTGCAAAGCTCTCTTCAAGGAAAACGTGCATCCCCCCAAAGCTGAGTGTAGTTGTCTGGCAAAAGCCAACTGACGGAGATTTTTTTTTCTATCACCTGGACGGTTATTTCAGTGGATAAAACGCCGCGAAACAAAATGGATACTGTCTTGAAATGGTGATGGCACGTGTAAAAAAGGGGGAAAATTCCTGACATAGCAAGTTTGTGCTATTCACATCAGCGACAAATAACTTGAATGTAAACTAGCTCAAAATTCTCTGCATGTTACTCACTAGCTTAATTTGACACCAGGGTCAGTGTTTGTAGCATTTCGAAGCTACCTTGATACAACGGGGGAAAAGGTTATCAACCAAAATGGCAATGGAAGGTTTGATATTTTATTGCTCGAGACTGGTGATGATTACCACTTTCTTCTTATTTGAAATCAATTAGAAAGTTTCACTTTTAATTTGAAGTTTAAAAACCTTAATGTTCAAACAATTTTATTCCTCAAATAGCATACCCACAGAATAATGTGTAGTTGAATACTTGGTAAAGCTCTTCATTGTTGAAAATAAGTGGATTTGCCACCTGTGAGACTTTGATGATCTATATTAGCGATCAGTCAATTAATCCACCAGAGCCCTGCACTATTGATCGAAACCTTCAACCCCCCCCACCACCACTACCACCGCTCGACTCGATCGTTAAGCTTGCCACGGAACATTATCGGTTAATAAATTATATCCACGAACGCGTCTACAGTTTGTACCCAGGTGACGGGATCAACACTTATACCCTTGAACCGGGCGTGTTATCGCACCTTCATCCTGTTGACGTGTATTTTATGGAAATACCTCCTGGAGCTCTTTAATCATACAGTATTATGTAGCCTGTGTACATTTCCCACCCGTATACGTCGCCAACAAGCCTGACCCTGCCCTCTCCTTCCTAGTCCACATCATTTTACCGTTTTCTGTTTATGTACATAATTATTTCATTTGGTGGCGAGTTCCATCGATATCGGCGTGCACTTTGTTAAGAAGTGGTTATTTTGGATCCCGAGAATTTTTTTTTCTGTATAACGTTCATTGCAATACTACGTGAGATTTGAACCTTAATAACAAACGTGTTTAGCGTATGTTTAGCATATGTCTACCGACTTCTTTTGTTATGGAAAGTAGAATTAGTTTATCGACTTAATATTTATTAAAGATTTTTTCGGAGAATGGGTTCGTAATAGTTATAAAAGTCATTGACGTAGGCAAGTACATGTTTCACTAAACTCTTAACAAAAAGCCCCGATTTTGTCGTTAAGCAGTGCTCTATTTCAAAAGTGTATAAAGTGAATGGACTTTTTTTTTAAATGTTTGAATTCTAAATAAAGCGCAAATGAGCTGGAAGGTACCGCTTTGTTAAATAATTGTGTCCGCGACTGCGTGATACATGTTTACATCGTGCCCAAAGTAGTATATTTCTGGGCCATAATTATTATGCTCTCTTCAGATGACAAAATTGTCAGCCATGCGGCAGCCTCTCTATGAAATGAGCCAATGGTAAAAATGCCTGTGATAAAAATCCCCACCCTGAGGCTTTCACAACAACGGGGTCACGCAAATGCCAGTTTCACACCAGAGGCAGCGCCGGGAGACAGTGGGGAATAATTGATCAGAATATGGTGCGACACCGTTGCACTTCTAATTGTGGAGAAACTAGGAAAAAGGTTTGCTCTTATTCTATTCGTTTTTATTGTGGTTTTTCTTAAAAGTAACTGACGCTGATCTGAAACTGGGGTTTTACACCCAGACTGTGGAAAGGAAATATTTTGTAAGAGCTGGAACAGGTAGCAAGTTTCCTAGAGTTGGATTGGGGATGGGGTATTAAAATTATGGCGATAGTTGCCGCATTTTATCCTCTGTTGATAAGGGCCTGCATTTCTGAGTTGATGGAGCCAGTTCTGCAGCTCAAAGACAACGGCCACTTCCAACAGCAAACTTTTTGTCAAGGAAAGTGTCTTGTGGGATTTTCCAAGGAGAGCACGTCTATTGAAAACTTGGCCGTCCGGTGACCCTGCTGACCCAGTTTTAGTAGCCACTTCCTATTTCATCAGACTCGATGTGACATAAGCACGTCAGCCAAATTGAATACTTGCATATGAGCATTATTTACGCAAGGGTGTGAAAAATTGATCTCAAATCGGAGGTAAATTGCAGACCCACCACCAAGCGCCTGTGTTGGTGTGCGCGTGTCGTGCGTGTGCCACCAGACCTGAGCCTATAGAGGATTGTTGCCGGACACCCGTAATGACCATTCACGATTGCCAATTTCACTCATAATTGGTTTCCTTGATAGGCAATTACAGCCGGTACAGTATAGATGAGAAGATGAGCGTGAAAAACAATCGCAAGTGATTCCGTCGCCATCCGGGGATGGGATTAGAGGTATATGCTGCAAGCAGAAGACATTTTCAAGGCAATTGGCGGGTGGTCAAAGTCCGACAATTAGTCTTTTAATCCAGACGTCGTGGTATCAAGCACCAGTCTTCCCATGGGGTTGCATCATCGCAGCCTTCCCATTTAACTTATCCAGAGAGTTATTTTACATGCAAAAGAAAAGCAAATTGCTCTGATCAAGGGTCCGTGTAGGCCTAACCTTTTACACTAAAAATCAAAAGAAATCAATTACATGTATGCCAGCCGCATGTCATTCTAATTTTTAATTGTATCTTTTTTGAAAAATCCCTGTTGCGAAATCATAGAAATTGAAACAGCTAACTGTGTTTACTGCAACCTTCACAGACTGACCGTACGTAGGCCTACAGGAAGAAAGCACGTGGTACACGCTGTCAAAACGTGCGTGCAACGCTGCGAGTACCAGTTTGTGCGCAAAAAAGCAACGCGCATCTCTTTAATTTTAAATCTGTTCGCGCGCGCAAAAGGAGAATAATGCCGAGTTTTGCGTAAAGAATTCCAAAGAATGATCAAAATCGACGCAGGTGGAATGTGCTGGGAACTTACAGAACTGAAGCAAACAGTGAACGGTTGTACTTTTCCAAGTGGTCATAGAAAACTCGTCAATTTGTATAATGTAAAAAAAGTCTGTCGTTTTGACGAAGGACCTGTATGTCGTCAGAATAGGTTTATAAAAGCTAAAAAGGACCGATGTCCGCGGATCCAGATCAAGTTACTCCGAATGAAGGGGGGTTTGCCGATGTGCCACCAGGCCAAGCATCGGAAGAGGGGAGCGGGGCTAGCTCGCCTGCCGAGCCGATTGAGAGCTACGGGGAGGAAGGGCCGGAAGAAATGAAGGCTGAAATTAGATATCTGCAGCAGAAGTTAGAGGCGAGTATACATGTTTATAGGCGTAGCTGAGATGAAATGGAGCCTCGATGGACGCCACGCCTTCAGTGATAACATCTTTCGAAGTCTGGCAAAACGCGGCTCCATCCACCAGTAGGCCTTGGGCCTAGTTCGTTGTGCACTATAATTTCCTGACAAAATTAAGAACTTATTGTCAGAATCTTGTATTTAAAAATTATTCTTACGTTTGTCATTGTTTTTTGTTTATAGGACGTGCAGGGGGAATCGTCTTTGCTGAAGGAATGGGGAGCCAGGATTGCCATGTACGTGGACTGTCTTGTAGACGCCTTGGAAACGAACCAAATCACTCACGTTTACGATGTGGATGGGTCGCTGGTGAGTTTTCATTTAAATAAAACATCGTTTGCTCTTTCTCCAATTGATGCTCAATAATTTTATCAATTGAGCCGATACGGGCCAACAACGCTGACATGGCCGTCTTCCAAACTTCAAAGATTGAGCCGATCGCATTGGCCTGTGAGAGAGAAAGAAAGAAGGAAATTTGTTGGAGTCATCGTCAACAACAAGCATTTTTAACAACTGCCAGCATGTTGTACAAACAATATTTCGAATGGCCGGTGCCTCACGAGACCTGTGCCCTGTCTGAATCGACTGGCTGCGTCAATAGGCAAACGGCTGTGGCTGCTGATGTGTGGCGTCTATTGGCTGTGTTAGTTCCAGACACGGGACGAGGACCGTGTTCAGCCTAGCTTGGGTGACGTCTTACATTGTCGTAATGTAAATTGAAGACTGGCGTCAAGCCTGGGCTAAGTAAGCTTTGCTTCCTCTGGGACTGCGGAAATTAACTTGTCTCGTGTAGCAGGATTATTGTTATTTTATGTGTGTTAGGCTTAAGCTGTGTACCGTGGACTTTATATAATCCATGTTGGGCCAATCTGAGCCAGGTTTTGTATGGCAAAACTAATGACAACTCTCTGTCACGGTGCTGACACGTGCTTAGTTAACCAGGCTATGATGCACATATTTGGCTTGGTGTGGAGTTGAATCAATGACTTAGACCGGGGTTTATAAAAAGAGATGGTTTTCTTAAAAGTTAATGTGGAATTTGTGGATATACGAGTCCTTTTATCTGTTATGCATCTCTCAGCCTGAGCAGAGACTTCGTTTCCCTTATTTTTGGTCTAATTATTCATTCAGGTGTCTCTAGATGAATGCAGACAGAAGGCAAAGACACTTCCTCACACGAGGAAACCACACTGTGACGACGATCTCCGGACCAAACAGTATGAGGCTGAGATCGACAACCTTCGCCAGGAGATCGCTGATCTCAACACCAGCATTGAAGAAACGCTGCAGAGGAGCGTGGAACAAGACTACCTCATCGAGCAGCTGCAAACGGCCGAGTACCAGGCCAACTGCCGCTGGGAGGCTTACTACGAGAACGCCATGCGGCAGTGGAGCAAGTGCTACGAGAACCTCCAGGGCCAGTACAACGACGCAGTGATCCGGCTGCAGAACCTCAACACGGCCTACAACAGCCTGAAGAAAACCGCAGCGGGAAGGAACCAGCTGGGACCGTTCAACCGCCCCGACCCCTTCCGGAGGCACAGACCCGCCGCGGTGCGTCGCGACGTTGGCTCGGCCGGACCGGGTCAGCATCAGCAACGCCGCCCGCCGGCGGCGTCCGGGGAGAGGATGACGCGCAGCGCGTACCAGGGTCGTGACTACTGGGGCCGCAACGACTTCGGCCCGGTGCTGCCCAGGGCCGAGCGCGCGGCCATCCTGAAGCAGTTCTTTGCCAATCTGAATATGATCCGGCGGCGGCAGGAGGAAATGGCTGGCGTGCGCTGGCTGAACCGGCGACACGAACCCCGCCGCCGACAGCGCCCTGGACCGTACGGAGAGGCTAACTAATGGCATAACATCTGTAGTTAATAAGGCTGCATCCGAATCTGTTGTCAAGAGCTAGGTCTAAGTCTTCGCACCATTGGACATGTGGGGAGACGCGCAGGCAACAGACCTAGCCGTAGCTCTGAAAGCCCGTTCCGGACATGGCCATATGATTACCAAAAGTGAAGAGACGTCATTACAGCGGTGGCACCACGTTTACGCGCACGCGCATTTTAGCAAGTCACAGAACCCTGTACGTGTAGAGATTTTTCACTTGACGTAACATGACGGGCAAAGGCCTTTCTGGAACGGTACCGTGTCCGTAGAGGCGCGTGCATTTTCCAATCTGCGTAGGCCTGTTTCTGTTAACAGTTTCATGTACGTCAGAATGTTGAAAGACTTCGAAGGCGCTTGCGTTTTCGTGCACATGTGCAAATTGAACGATGACCGTCAAAAATCACGTGACTGAAAATCCTTTGTCGTGAAGAGGCGCATAAAGCGTGCGTATCACCTGTCCAAGTGCGTGGTGCAAACACAGTAATGGCTTCTGGTCGCTGAATTAGACAATAAACTGTACTATAAAATTGTACCTTGAGAATAAAGCAGGTGTGAGAGCAGCGAGGGAATTATTCATTAATTTATCATTAGTTAAGATCTCTTGGATGCAGTTTACTGAGGTGCCATTCTTGATCTTTTTTTTCTGAACTTTTCAACCACTTTTGAATATTTCAGTCATTTATACTGGAAACTTGTAGACGTGAATTTTCTCGTGCAGGATCTAAAAATAAAAATCACAAACGAAATTTGCAGGATAGCTGCACATGTCAGTGTGACTGATACGGAGGCTTCGGCTGAAAGTTGTCTAACGTATTTAATTGTTTGCGTAAATGAGGAAATTTTTAGCAGGCCTATATTTTACCCATTTGCACCTGTCGGCTTGAGTGTTTAATTGTTAAAACTTAGACAGCAAATGTAGATCGACCTTCGACTCAGTTACTCACAGAAACTGTACCCACTTCATTGTAGAAATATCAGTAATTGGTAGGCCTATGATATCCCCTAATGTTTGTTCTTTTTCGTGTATTTGTAATATACATTAAGACAATTGCACAGCTTTCCTTTTCTGAAGGATGGAACGTGACTCATCGAATTAGCGGATGTTTCCTAAATAAACAATACTTTCTTGCATTATTAGTCAGCCGTATCCTTGTTATCGTGCGTACTGCATGCATTCGATCGGCTTCACGGAACGAAGAGAAATTGCTGTCATCGTTTGTCAAGTCTAATTCCTGAAAATGTGCAACCATTCAACTCTGACCTTGTACTTCACGCGAATTGCAATGAACTTGCCAGAGAAGAATATATGAATTTGTTTTATTTCATGATGAAATCAGATGGGGAAAATACACATTTCGAACAGATTGCAAGTTCCTGATGTTGGTTTTGAAAATGAAAAAAATCCTTGAAACTGGGTCATTGTGTTTTTCCGGGCAGGGCCTCGGTTTTGGGTCGGACCGTCCGCAGCGTGGCTGGTACACCGACCTGCACGAGTCTCACGTACGCGTACGGTCCGGGTTGCATAATGGAGAGCCGCAGTGTACGAGGTCAGGAGTTCCGCCGAGCGGATATTATCGCGGTGGTGGGTCATTCGTTGTGGCGAACCCGACATGGTCATCGCCAAAAAACTTCACCTGTGTCTTTTGTTCCCCACCTGCCCACCTAATCGGAAAATTCCACGAAAGATGTCTGGCTCATCATTTTAATCGACTTTACCGTGTCCTCACAAGGAGGAAATTAGGTTCTTGTTGTTGTCATTGTTGAGCTTAAAAGTCTTTCGAAGTGAGTCATTTGATATCATGTACTGATGATAAGGATTTTCGATTACTGAGCCGGCAGATAGCGCCGCCAATTAATTTAACAAAGCAACATGGTGTTTAAATCACCTTACGGTTAGTGAACTAGTGAAGGTTTTGCGGAAGATGTGTTGTCTTAAAAGACGTGAAAACGAAGAGGCAATTTCTGAAGACGATCAGACTATATTGATTGAAATGCCGAGTTTCAACTCGCTGGTCCTTTCCAGAACCGCACGTCTTCCCAAACGAGATATAACCGTCACACAGTGCAAAACGTAACTAGGTTGAAACCGCCACAATTCAAAGTTCCAAGTCTTACTCACCTGACGGTACTGGACAAGTGGTATGGTACTTCTTCCTATATACTCGTCTTCAGTCACAGGCATGCCCCGACCATTTTTCGTCAGAAACTCCGAGGCAACTCCACTGGACAGGACCGCCCCTGAACATATGCTCAACTCTTTGAAACAGACTCAAAGATATCCTTGTACCGTCACCTTGTCCTCTTCACAGAATTCCCTGATCAGAGAATGTTCCATGATAGGTTGCCCATAGCAAAAACAATGTGTAAACGTTTTCTAAACATCGCATCCCTTAGCGAAGGCTCAAAAAGTAAACGTTCGACGGACGACAAAATCCTTTTGAATTAAAAAAAGAAGAAGATCCTTGCACTTCTAATAGCAGATGTTGTTCCCCTTGCATGAATTATTAAGAAAAACAGGTACAGTCAGTCATTCAACCCTTTCCCTTTGTCTTTATTATTATTAAACTTTTCTGAAACCAGCTGTCCCTTTTGAAGCTGACTGTTTCGCTGCACGGGCTCCTGTATTAACTTTCCTCTCTGTTATCGCCGTCTCGCGTGCAACGTTTTGGCAAGAAATCTATCATAATCAGGCGGGCTAAAGCATGCAGAGGCACTGCCGTCTCGTCAACCCTTAATGAAGGTCGTGTTTAGTCCTCCCACGTCATACTTGTCGTAATTACAGTCCATTAATTTCCCAAAGTAATCTGAGATTTTCAACGAAACGAATTCACGAAATGTACTATAGGCAGAGATCTGTAAATACACAGTAGGCCTAATGGTACAGGCCTGGAGAATTTTAGATCAACAAGAAAATGAGTTTCGGTATTTGAAAAGCAGCTCTATCGTTTTTTGTTGTTAAATTTTGCTATTGTTTTGCTTTAATGTGCAATGTGATTTTCTTTGAATTGGCTGATTGCTGTTTCTCTCCATTTTAATTTTTTTTTCATTATTTTGCTTATATTGCTTTTTATTTAAAAAAATGAATATAACAAAAGATCAAAGAGGTTACTACGTCACATATATTTTTGACTGTGGAAGCAATTAAGGTAGCAGCTTGATATAAATGAGCACTCAAGGGTGCGTTAACATCCGGGGGTTTTACTTAAGGGCATAAATGGTGGTGATGGGGAGGGGGTCATTGTTCAAATGAGCCCCCTTTTCTAGTCCTCTGTGACCTTCCAATGTTTTACTAATGAGAAAACGACAAAACAAGTCTCGTATATGTCTTCGAGGGCATTGAAAATGCACCACAATGCAGGATTTGTTGTCCTATTTAGAGAAATTTTTCCCGGGGAGCATTCCCCCGGGCCCCCTAGTCTGAGGATGTCAGCCCCCTTTCTGATAGTCCTGGGTACGCCCCTTTTACTCGACTTATTTTCGTAGCTGCATCTACTTCTATCCTACCATACAGACGCTCGGTAATTTGCTCTTTTTCCATGTAAATGAAACCGGGGGGAAACTTCGCTTCTTAGCGATCGTCATTCCCTTGAGATTTGATGCGAAGAAGATTATGTCCGTTTATCAGTCGCAGTAGTGTTGTACGTTTGTATGTGTCTGGTGTCTGTTACCTGTCTCGACTTAAACAGTGCACCGATTCGAAGGTTTTTGTCACAGCTGGGTTTGTTGTGTATCCGGGGCCCCCCCCCCCCAAATATCAGAATTATTTCACCCGAGTGAGGATCTCTTCCCAGCAACAGACGAAGTAGTAAAGGGGAACAGTCAAGCAGATGGTGATGCGTGACGCCATCAGGCCAGCTGCATCCTTGTTCCCAATCCTTTTTGATGAGACAAGATGGGTTTACGGACAGTGACGATTGTCACGACGCGAGTTCAGGCATCATCGGGCCGGGCAATCATCAGTCATCCGATCCGGGCCTCTTCCGAGCCTCGGTGGTGTACACGCCACCTCGGACAACTAGCCGCATGCACCTGCCGAGGGGCCGTGAAGAAATTTCTCCCAAGTCCTCATCGATAGCAAAATGACGGCAGAGACGCAGGAGGAAGAACCGGTCAACCTTGACCCACAAGGGGAAGGGATCGGTCACTGGCGTTGCTTGCTTGCCAGTGAACACCCAGCCACGATCGGGAGTGGCACACTACAGACTTGACATAGCTCATGGATCTCGATCCATTTGTGGCCATAACGATAATTTGTGAAGGCGAGAAAGTGCTCTATTACTTGGCATAATCTTGGAGAAGAAAGGTTTAATAAAGATCCACTGCGTCCCTGTTCTCAGGACCATAGATCTGTTCTCAGGATCGGGTCATGGATTGAAAGGACAACTATTGGAAATCTGAGGTTTCTGCTGGGTGGAATCAAAGACAACAAGTATAAAAATTTAACTGAGATTGTACGGGCATTGCATGAACACAAGCGTTAAAAAATGAAGATCAAGTTTAATTTCCCATTTTAAAAACATCCATGGTTTCTCGTCCATTACTTTCTTGGGGGGGGGCTCTTCAAGATGAAAAGTGCTTGACGTTTCACAAGGCGCCCTCTGACGTAAGTTTCAACCTCGATTACATTCCTAATTTCAGGGTTCGGTTATAAACGAGACGATGAACAAACTCGTGCTCCAACAAAACACAGCCCGCGTGAATCAATGCTAATTGCGTTTCCGACGGACAGCTATACATCACGTTTGAATGCCACGGTGCTTAACCCTAACTCCCTAGGGTGTGTGCAAAATCACATTAAAATTGGAGGATTCAGGGCTGTTAGGGTTAATGATATACACACTTGTCTATGTTTTTTCATCGCTGCAGTTTCTTCCATGGAGGTATTGGCACCCGTGGTTTCGATCACCGGCCATTACTCCGCCGTGCATCGACCGGCAGGTTTGAATAAAGAGACCGATGATGAGCAAACAGCCTTGCCTTCGCACACCCATCCCGTAGTCAGTCCACTTGTGTCTTGGTTGATTTAATCAAAGTTGTGTTTCAGAAACTTATGCTTACAAAATACACTTACATCGTTCAGGACTGTTGGTGTTAACATTTACTGAGGATATGTATTTAGTTGTGTTCATGGGAGGAACAGGTAAAAACTAAGCGAAAATTGTCGATAATTTCAATAGAGCGAAGTAAATTTTACTTCCGTAAACAATCGAGTGCAGACATCGTGAGTGATATTCCTGTTAAGGTTTACTCTCAGTTCTGGAAATCTCAAAAATGGATCACAGATTGAGCTGCTCGTTTTGTAAATTCGTAGTGGAAAAGTAGCATAACTGCTGTTGAACGATGTGTAAATTATGATCAAATCTTTCAGTACTCATTAAAACGTGGCATAAACATCGCACCAAATGTTTACTACGCTGCATAAACCCGGAGCAATAAAGAGCTACCGCTAAAGGAAATAATGAACCACCTCTTTAACGTTTGGCAAGGGGAGACGAACCAAAGCGAAATGAAGGAGACAAACAGACCAACCAGCCAGCCAGCCAACAAACAAACAAGGAAGTATCTTTGAACTCAAGAAACAGGTGTGGACGGACGTCAAATTTCCCACACTAAAACTCTGGGACCGTGCCCCCGGGAGACGTTTCACTTTTGCAATGGACTCTTAATAGTGGTAACCTATGATTTCTCACAGATTGCAAAACATACTCGAGCGGTATTATGCGCACTCGTTAGGTTGATCATTCATCTCAACTGAGAATAACATGCACTGAAAGGGATTTTTAGTTCGTGCTGCAACTTTCGTATCTGACGACATAAGGTTGGTTCATACTTTAAGCGTATGCGACAGTGAAGCAAATTTGACCTCACGACCTGTTTGCAGCTTGACTCGAAATGTGTCGACTTTTTGCGAATTCGTAGTGCAAATTTTGACCGGGCGTCACAAAATCGCGTCCGTAGTCGCTTTTGCCAAAAATGAATCGGTCTTAACTTTTAATGTACCGTCAACTGAGTGCTCTGTTGGTTGAACTGTGCAATTCTGGACACAAATCGAACATCTATGCGGTCGATAGTTGCTCCATCAATCGATCGATAACTCAATCGAAACAATCAGTACAACCTAATCTATCATC